GCGTACATTGAGCTCAGCAATGCAAGGTCATACCCTTCCATGATCAGAGTAGATGAAAGGAGCACAGACCAGCCGACGGCTTTTGGGTATAACCGCAAAGCCTGCCAGAGGGTCATAGACTGCTCCTTCATGGCACCTTGTCTGCCTTCTGCAAGGACGGGGGAGGCTTTGCCGTCCATCTTCGCAGATGTGTCGTCCATCAAGACCATTGGGGAACTGTGTTGTTGTTTTGAAGCTGAATGGGCCCGGTGGATATCACAAGTTAAACAAAATGTTTCGAACAGTAGGTTCTTTGGCAAGGCCTAAGCAGAATCGAAGGCTGACAATATCCCGATACTTCGAGCATTATCAAGGCTGGTAAACCACGGGGAGATGCATGATTTATATGAAAGATCCTAAATCAAGAATACACGCATAGTTTAGTTCGCACGCATCGCGGATCCGGGGAAAATGCACATGATCTGTCACTCACTTCTGAAGATTTGGAGAAAACTGGGGAAGCCGGAATGTGGAGGTCTATCTGTGGCGAATCATCGTTGCGGAAAGGAGCCCATCGGCGGCAAGTCGGTCGTTAGTCGGAGATGCACCATCCCACCGGAGGCTTGGCGGGTATTCAGGGTCTCCTGGAGTCATCCCCGCGTTTCCCCACGCCGAATTGGTTCCGAGATATGATGAAAATGTATAAGAGGGGTGTCGGCCTGGAAAATGGAGGTTTCAAGCCATTATGTCACCACACGCGACACAAGATACAGCCGTTCCTACAGGGACCAATAACTGGTGGAAAGAAGCCACCGTCTACCAGGTTAGTTGCCACGACATTCAGGCATTCGGCATCCCAGAGACGTAAAACTAACCTTCTCTGCTCGAGTTTAAAGGTTTACCCGGCTTCCTTCTATGACTCCAACGGTGATGGCTGGGGCGATATCCCGGGCGTTGTCAAAAAGGTCGATTACCTCCAGTCGCTGGGAGTTGATGTCGTCTGGCTATCGCCGATGTACGACTCACCCATGCACGATATGGGCTATGACGTTTCCGACTATGAAAATGTGCTCCCTGCTTATGGAACCGTACAAGACGTGGAGAATCTTGTGGAAGCTTGTCACTCGCGAGGCATGAAATTGATTCTAGACCTCGTTGTCAACCACACCAGTGATCAGCATGCTTGGTTCCAGGAGAGCCGGAGTAGCAAGGACAATGACAAACGTGATTGGTACTTCTGGCGCCCTCCTCGGTATGATGAGGCAGGGAATCGGATGCCTCCGAGTAATTATCGCGGTTATTTTGCTGGAAGCACATGTGCGTTGAAATATGTGACAACATTCAATATCTTTGAACTAACGAACCTTTTACATAGGGACGTGGGACGAGAAAACGGAAGAGTATTACCTACACCTTTACGCCAAAGAACAACCAGATCTCAACTGGGATAACAAGGCCACGCGTGAGGCTATCTACAACAGCGCCGTTCGATTCTGGCTTGACAAAGGTGTCGACGGTTTTCGAGTGGACACAGTGAATAAGTACAGCAAACATACAAAATTCCCAGACGCCCCCGTCACAGATCCGAAAAGTTACATCCAGCCCGCCATCGGAATGTGGTGCAACGGCCCCCGGATTCACGAGTTTCTACGCGAAATGTACGACGAGGCATTTGCTCCGTACGGGGATGTCGTGACCGTAGGCGAACTGGCCAATACGCCCAATCCCAAGAACGTCCTCGAATATGTGGGAGCATCAGCCAAGGAGCTGAGCATGGTCTTTCACTTAGACATTGGCCATATTGGTATGGGCCCCAGCCTGGAGGAGAAGTACATCTTCACGCCCTGGAAGTTGACACAGATGAAATCCATTGTGGAGAAGTGGCAGTCTTTCATTGAGGGGACGGATGGCTGGACCACCGCTTTCTGTGAGAATCATGACAACGGACGCTCTGTCTCTCGGTTTGGATCGGACGCACCCGAATTCCGGGAGATCTCTGCCAAAATGCTGGCTCTGATGATGGTTACCATGACTGGGACTCTGTTCATCTATCAGGGACAGGAGATTGGTATGATCAATGCACCACGCGAGTGGCCCATTGAGGAATACAAGGACATTGAAGGATTGGGGTATTACCGAGAAGCAGAGAAACGCAGTGCGAGTGGAGCCGATCCTACTCGCAAGGAGCACATCATGGATGGTCTCCGAATTCTGGCTCGCGATCATTCCAGGCTGCCGATGCAGTGGGATGACTCAGAACATGCTGGTTTTACTACCGGGAAGCCGTGGATGCGAGCTCATGATCTTTATGGTGAGATCAATGTAAAGAGGCAGCAGGATGATCCTTCAAGCGTGTTATCTTTCTGGAAAGATATTCTGCGTCTGAGAAAAGAGTACCGGGAGTTGTTTATCCACGGTGCATTCGAAGTGCTTGACTACGAGAATCAAGAGACATTTTGCTTTGTGAAGTCAAGAGATGATAAACGAGCATTGGTCGTTTTGAACTTCACTGATAGATCTCAGACTTTCGCACAGGCTGAGAGAACTGCGGGCATGAAGTTGCTTGTAGGCAACTACTCGGATTCATCGCGGGGAACCCTGAAGCCCTTCGAAGGACGTGTGTATATATGAAATAAATATCATAGAAGTATCACCAGCAATATATTCCTAAGAATATTGATCGAGATATTACTTTTCGAAACACTATTCTGCATAACATCATATAGCTGGCCACAATCCTCCCCAACGTCGGCAGTTTCTCAGCAGTCCACATCTTGTAGCCCATCAGGGACCCTCAAGGGGATTTGGCTGAGCTTTTAGAATTTCTTCTCATTTTATGGAAAAATAAAGTTGTAAAGAGATAATTTCCACTACAAATTGAATGACCACACTGGATTTAGGGAAGACAAAGTTGGGGCCCTGCACGGGATGTTTAGGCCTGGAAAGCAAGGCCACAAAAACCATTTCTTCGCCCGGCTTCTCTCCGACTTCCCCCCGCAACCCCGGGTTTCTGCGCTTTGCTAGTACCTCTGGGTGTATTTGTACCAGATGCCAGACCTACTGGTCAAGCAAGCCTGTGATGCATGTCGCCGACGTAAGGTCAAATGCATTTCCCCAAAGCCTTGTGAGCAGTGTCGAGCTGCCGGCCTGGTCTGTCGGACAACTTCTCAGCGACAGAGAAAGGGGCGACAGGGCCAGACAGCCAACATTCTTAATGAACTCAGAGCAAACCAAATTGAACAGGAGCTGGTGCGGGATGCAAATATATCTCCACCATCAGCAGCTCTAAGGCTTGGTGATAATATACCCACGTCCCATTCACTCCGGACCTCAGGAAGATGTCAGTTCTCAAAAACTCCGGGTCTTTTGAGTCGGGAGCTTGTCGATGCCTGCTCAGGATATTTCTTTTTGCGAATGAGAGGAACGGTACCCGTTTTGCAACCCGGCAGCTTTCAGAGACAGGTGGACTTTGCCGATACATGCCTCCATGCTTATTGTTTCGTCACTGCTTTCTGCGCTTTTGTGGTCACTCAAACTGGATTTGCCGTGGAGCATTCATCCTCAGAATTCTCTCGGGGCTTTCGTATTGAAGACTTCCGAAATTCCCTGATTGAGGAAGCTACCGAAGCTCGAAAGCATATCGATCCATTCACAGATCCTGTACGGCAAAGCATTATCATCGCTTTCCTCTTGTATGGATGTCATATTGGACTAGGAAACCAACGGCATGCATATTATTTTCTCCGGGAATCCACGACGCTTTATACGGCCAGCGCGCTGGAAAGTCAAGCATCATCGGCGCAGGTGGATGACGATGACCCTGCCTTAGCAGGCAAATTGTTTTGGCTCTTGGTGGTGTCCGAGAGGTATTTTGTTCGTCTATTCGTTAGGTATTTGCTAATATAAGGGCAGAGCTCATGCGATCCGTCGACATAGACCAATTACGCTCCAGGTTACCCCCGAAAGCCCTCAATTAGACGATGATCTACTTCCAACTCAACTGGAAGATGACCCACTTGCAAATGCGTCGGCCATCGGCTTTCAGTGTCTGGTAAATCTCTACCGCCCATTTGATGAAGGTTTTCTGGCTCAGTGGAATGGAACGAATGCCACATGCTCGATTGAATCGCTAGTTCGCCTCGAGGAACTCATTCAAAGTGCAGTCCCGGCAGACCTTGATCTCCCTGATATACTTATGGCGGACTTGCGTGTGTCCCAGCAGTGGCTCCGTATTATGATATGGCAGCTTTCTACAACTGCTGGATTTCTTTCGACAAAGCCTACTCATGAATGCATGGATTTCCGCTACCCCCTCCTAATTGCTCAAGATCTTTGCTTCGCAACATGGAAATTATCCAGGCAGAGTATGGAAACCCATGGAATCGGTCTTGTATGATTTACGATCTACCCTTGTGAAAATACTAAGCATATTCTAACACATTGTAGATCGAAAAAATATTTGAGGTGGCATGCACCTTGATTGATGTTATGGCATGCCTCTCGGCGGCTGGGCTCCGTTCTTCGGGCTTCAAGCTTGGCCCGCAAGATTATCTCAAGCATTTCTTTACTCTCATCCACGATCTTCCTGGAGGACGTCGAAGATTTCTTCCACTGCTGCTTACCAAAATAGGGCAAACTCTGCCATTCATGGTAGACCCTATCACCGTTCATCTCAAACTCCAACCAAGCAGCCTTGTTCCGAGGTCTGTCAGTGAGGAATCATCAATATCCGCCACTACCGGAAATGATAGCTCAATTGAACAGCCCTCCGCTGAATTGATTTCCGATTCTGAGAATTGGATGAATGGTAACTTCAACTATGCGGAGATGAGCCGCATCGGTGAGAAAACACCAGAGATTGATGAGGCATTTCTCCAATACTCCAGTTACTTTCCCTGAAGACCGGAGAAGTGGACTGCGCTTATCAATACATTATGCTTGCCAATAGAGCTACGTGTGGTAAACCTTGGAAGTATATTGAGGAAACAGGGTAGTTTCCTATCATTCTTCCGAGTTATCTGTCAAGAGCTGGACCTAGTGAACACAGCAGATGCGTCCAGCTGTTTCTGACGGGCCTCGTCTTGCGTGAGATACCCAATATCCATCATGTATCTCACGCTGCTTTCCAACGCGACAACTGTTTCTCTTTGGTCAAAATAGCAGTTCCGTGGGACATTGTCTTGATCAGCCATGAACTGCCGGGTGTTTTCCTCAAACCAACTCAAAACTGGCATGAACGGATGGTCGAAATCGGCTTCTTCCACATCTATCTGCAATAACTTCATCCATTCTTCATGGCTCATTCTTCGAATTGGCATCTGCATCTGCCTACTTATAGCGTCGCAGAATGTGGAAAAGGTGACTCCGTCTACGCAGTTGATTGCTTCTGATGAATATTGCTCCGGGTGCAGGAACACATCGGTGATTAGACTGGACACTTGATCCACGCCTGCCACAGTGAGATATTGGAGGTCCTGGCTAACGGCTTCCAATCGAACAATGCTGAACGCCAGTCGCCACAGGAAATCTTCCGTATGCGCGACGCCCTCTTTCTGGGTTCCGACGATAAATCCTGGTATCACGGTCCGCGCCTTCTCGGCCTTGGAGTTTGATCGGTCTAAGTGCTTATTGTACTCGTTCAACAGCAATTGGGACATGAACTTCGTTTGGTCGTATCCTGATGCTTCCGAGAGCTTCTTGGCAATTTCAACGTGGCTCTCCGGCTCCATTGGCATATAGCCCCCGGAAACATAAATCAGTGGACAAGGAGACTCCGTCTTTGAAAGCCCAGAGAGAATGTCGATGGTACTGTGGATGTTCACAAGCTCAAGATCTTCATAGCTATCCATCCAGTTTACTCGAGCTCCATTGTGAATAATACCGTCGACGCGCTTTGCTTTGTCCGTTGAAAACAGGCGGTCCCATTTGGAGTGGTCCAGGCCAAGCAGGGGTTTGCTTAAATCCCCAGTCCAGACTTCGATGCGATCTTGATACCCAGGCAGCCACCAACGGCCTAGTTCACCTTGTTGCTGAACCTTCCGTCGGGCTTGCTCTTCATCCTTTGCCCGAACAAGGCCGATTATACACTTGATCTCCGGATGTTCCAATAGATACCTCAATATCTGGCTTCCGAGGAATCCAGTAATCGACGTTAGAAAGACAGTTGCTTGGCGAATTTGAATGAAATCGAGCTTTGGCTTCAGTCTTGCGAGATCGGCTATCAGATTTCTGGCTTGGTTGGTTTTCCTCCTGGGATCCTTTTTTCCGAGAATATAGTCTTCGATATTGCAAACCGACAAATCATGTTTCTGCAAATTTTCGATCTTGAGTTTCTTCTGGTATTTCTTCCTAATCAAGTTCACCAACGATACCCAGTGCATGGACGTGAGACCGACACTGACAAGCGAAAAGTCTGTCCCTCGGAGAGATGCTGCAAAGTCTTTGTCCTTGCTCTCGAACATGTCTGCAATAATGTTGCTGATTTCGACCGCCAATGTTCTTGAGTTTGGGATTTCACAGCAGTCATTGACTGAAAGGCCCCCCTTGCGGTATTCTTGAAGGTCCTTTTGGCTCATATCTGACAATCGGCCTCGAAGCTGCTGTCGATCAATTTTCTTTGACATCGTGAGTGGCATGGACTTTATTGACACAAACGCGGTCGGAATCATATATTTGGGAAGGCATTTGGACAGCTGGTCATGCATACTTTCGGCTAGTTGATCTTCCTGGTAATCAGTTGTTTCGACGAAAGCAACAATCTCGACATCCTGACCCCCTTGTCCAGACAAAGTGACTGCCGAGCGACCGGATTTGAGGCATGACTTAATTGCATTTTCAACCTCTCCCAGATCCACGCGCAGTCCGCGGATCTTAACGTATCCGGTTTGACGACCCAAAAACACCAAGTCGCCATTCTCATTGTACTTGGCCAGATCACCCGTACGGTATACTCGGGTTCCTTCAACCTGAGGCATGAGAGGTGACCATTCTAGGGACCAAGGATCGAGCATGGCTTGCGCTTCACGGTATGGGTCCTGCAAATACCCGAGTGCGAGGTGTGGACTCTGAATAAGTAGTTCTCCTTCGGCGCCAAAGGGCATCAGCCTATGCACGTTGGTTGGGTCTGTAATCCAACACGCGACATTGCCAATGCCACGGCCGATGTTCTTGGGCTGGTCCCCTGGTTTCATTCCTATCTTCACTGTGTCCCATACACCAGTCTCAGTCGTGCCATATAGGTTGTTTAGCTGGACCCGCTCAGCCCATGTCGACACGAGCTCCGCAGAAGCAGGCTCCCCTCCAACGCTGAGGCTGCGAAGACTTGGTAGGTTCTCTGGTTGAATTTGCGGGGCCATTGATGGAGTGAGCCATGCGTGTGATACTTTCAAGCTCTCCATCGCTAACTCCAAGTCGCCATCTCGCTCCTCTTGTGATACGACGCAGAGACACCCGCCAGCGGCGAGTGGCGCGAAGACTTCCAGTATGCTAGCGTCAAACGCCAAGCTTGCCAATTGCATCAATCGAGTAGAACCATTGATTGAAAGTTCATCAACGCATTCAAGAAGACTAAGAGACACTGATCCGTGGCCGTGGACAACACACTTTGGGATGCCCGTACTGCCAGATGTAAACATCAAATACACAGGTTTTGATGTGTCGGTGTGGGCTTCTTCAAACCAATCTTTGGGGGACTGAGAATGGTCAAGCTGGCTCGACGTGATCAATTTCACTTTGAGGTCCTGGAATTTGTCACGTAGTTTGTCTTCAGTGACCACATATTTTATGTCGGCTTTTTCCACAATCTGTGTGATTCTCCCTGGTGGAGAGGTTGAGTCTATTGGGGCATATGCAGCTCCAGCTCTCAAAATCCCAACCATCATTATGATCGTCTGGACTGATCTATCCATGCAGAGACCCACTGTATCTCCAGCCCGGATACCCTTGCTCGTCAAGAAATGAGATATGGCGGCTGAGCTTTTACCCAGTTCTGCGTACGTGACGCTTTGTGAGGACGATGCTAGTGCAATTTTCTCGGGATGCAGAGAATAGTGCTTGCTGATGAGCACATGCAGGCACTCTGGTGGTCTTTTGGCTTGGGTCTTCTTGTTACCATTGATTTGGTGTAGTCTCTCGACATCGAGTGAAGCCACAGTGCTTATATCATTGATCTTCATGTCCGATTGGCAAACGATGGCGCTGTGGATGCTCCTGAAGCTGTTCAATATAGCACAAGGTCTGAACTCTGGTCTCTTGGATCCGTTCCCGTATGCATTTACCATGAAACAGTTATCCGATTCCGTTATTACTAATAGCATTTCGACCTAGAAGACAGGATTTCTGTCAATTCCGTTCCTATAAAAATGGAGAAAAGGCCTCGTACCTCAAGTAATTCAAGCAACTGCGGCGTCCCTTTCGTCTGCTCCCTCGATAATACCAAAACAGCTGTTTTCTCTTTTGTGGCAGTGAGCCCAGCCCAATCACTGGTCTTCACAGCGTGAGTTACCACATTTACTAGCTGCTCACTAGTGGTACCGGTATCGGTTTGGACTGAGATTCGTTGGCCATGAAGGGGAGATACCTTTACATGCTTCTTCGAAAAATCATCATCTTGAAACCGAAGGTGCACAAAGGCGGGTAGATTTGGTGCATAGTAGTCTCGCAATAGTACCGCCCAAGCAGCCAGCAGGGAAGACTTTTGTTCCTCTGGGCCAACTTTGCTTCCGCGAAGTGTGACTGGATGACATGCTGAGAATATTTTTGGATTCTCATCATCTGCAACACAGCGATGCTCGGTGATTGTCATTGTTGAGGTCTGAAATCGATAAATCGATATAAAGATGAAATGAGACTAGGAGTCGGATAGTTCTTGCGATGATAGATTTTGACTCTTTCTCCTGCCTACATTATTCGCTTTATATACCTTGAACACGTAGATAGAGACCTTCATATTGTGATTACTCTTTGCCTCCTCGTCACACCATACTATGCGGGTGTGGGAAAGATCTTCGACCAAGTTGCGGCAAGGCTTGATCTGCAGGCATGGGTAACACAACGTCCAAAATGACAGGTTCTTCATTCTTCAACTGGGGGCCTCATTTTCCTCTTGTCGTCACCCGCATCTGGTTATAGGTGGAAAATTCGTTTCGCACATTCTACACCACGGCCTTAACGTATTCAAAATTCCAATTGTTCTGTCCTGTATTATGCATGTATGCCGTCTGATTAGCAATTCCCTGCCCATATAGTCGTGGCACAGGCGTTTTTATGACAGTTCGAAATATATTATATTTTACTCTAGATCGGACCGACTAAATCAAATCGTCCTTGGGACCGGAGGCTACATAGGCGTTTAGATATTCTTGAATATTATATACAAAAAATTAGTTGCAGAAATTGAGCTTTCCACCACGCATGCTCTATATTTGCGCCTAGTTATTCTAATTCTTCAAGCTACAACAAGAAGGGGGAAAGCATCGAAAAAGGATATTCTATAACGTCCCTGATATTACCTTACGCAAAAGGGAACATATTTTTTGACCGCGTCATCAATGACAGAGGCTGTATAAGCGGCTGAATATTCTTACAGAGTATCTTTCTAGATCTGTGTGGCTCTTTTCGGCAGACTTTCTCTGTTTCATGTATTTTTCAAATATCTTTCGGTAAGGATGATTATCCTGACGTGACACTAGGGATTTCCATGCGTCTACCTATGCGAATAAGGTTATAAGGGTAACATTATCGGCATGGCTTCTACGGTCTTATTGGTACTTCCAAACTAGATACCGCTGACCATCTAAGGAATCGATTTTCTTTGGCCCTATTGGTTTTTATTGTCAGTAGCTTTCAAGGTTGCTCCTACATACTGAGGATATTGTTGCGGTTATGGTGAACTCCACCCCCTTGAGAGCAAAGGGCGGAAGGGATGTGTGATTTGCTGGCCAGTCGGTCGGGTGTGTCCTGTCTTGGATTGTCCTACTACTCCGTACAAGAGAAAAAGATATTCGAACAAGGGGGATCGACACTTTTGCTGATAGAAGATTGAGCTGAGGCCCTGCTCTTTACCTTTAAGACAACTAACAATTGAGTACAGTTCACCAATGAGTTGCACGGACATTTTCACCTGAACACCATTTCCCATATCAAAAACCAGCGCCGCACCCTTGACATAACACACTCAGCTTCTCAACTAATTTAACGCTATCGCTCTTCAATATACTTTGTGATGCATCATGAAGTTTGTCTTTACCTCTTTCCTCTTTGTCACCGCTGTCATTGCTCTTCCTCAAAATGAAGCTGGAAACCTTTGTGCAAGCAAGCAGACCATTCTGTGTAAAGCACAAGGAAGTAGTGGCCTTATCACTCTAGGCAACGTTCCGTCCGGGGCATTGGGTGAAAACTGCGCTGCTGGTGATGTCTATTGCTGCGCTCATGACGACCTTCAACAAGTAAGACACTACTTAGCCTTTGAAGATGGGCATAACGACCGACTAGAAGCCCAACAATTCTGGTCTTACAAAATTGGACTTAGAGGCTCGGTGATCTCTCAATCTTGTTCTTTGAGCAACTACCTCCACTTGAATTTCGAGCACTGTTTATTGGTAGAGCCAGATTTCAGTTCGAGACTGGCAATGAATAAGATGCACAAAAGATAACAAAAGCCCATAGAATAAGCAATCGTCTTTGCCTATGAGTGGTACTGTAGCTCTCTACAGCGTAGACAGCCTTGCGTATTAAGACTAGCGGGCGTGCTATAGGAAGCATCGGTTGGAAAGGACAGAACGGTACAGGTGGGAAAGGGAAAATCAGCGCCATATCGTCAGAACTCCAAGACTATTGTGGCTATAGCACATCTGTTTACTGAGTATTGGGCGGCTTAGGAAAACCCGGTGGGTATATGAGCACATATAAGATGCATATATATACACATACATACTTGCTTTTTGAGTTTCCTTGCATTCATTCAAAAATACGATTTTTGATTTTTTGAATATTGCATCAGGCTATTACTGACACTTATCAAAGCAGTCACGCATGTATTAAAATGAAAACAAGTCGTTTAGGGCTGAAGATCGGTCATCTGCCATGTCACAAAATGCGCAACCGGTCTCTTCCCGCAGCCGGAATAAACTTCTTTGGTCCTGAGAGATTGAGGCCAACATCCATTGCGACAACTTGATACCCTCTGCATTGCTATCCCTACGAGCATTCGCTTTGCGACTCCTTCATATTATTCTAATTGCTCAAGCTCTCAAAATTTGAGCAAAGCCATCCTTATCTGCCACCAGCCACAACAAACACCCACGCCGCACGGGGGAACGCCCAGACCAGACCAGACCTTTTTCACAATGGCGGAGCCACCTGCGAAGCGCGCTCGCCGTGTTGACAGCTCTACCATGTGGGACTCGAACGATAAACAGCCTCGTGCACCAGAACAAGAGTCAGACCGTGACCGCAGACGTTCACCAGCTCCGCGAGATGATCGGCGCGACGGCCGGTATCGCTCTCGCTCACGAGACCGCAAGGATGGAAGGCGAGAACGGAGCTGGTCTCGAGATCGCCGCGACCGGGACCGACGAGACGGAGACAGAGATGCGCGTGCGGCCCAGGACCGAAAGAGGAGCACTAGTCGGGAGCGCAACCAGGATAGACGAGGTTGGTGCAAGATTTAACAGATTCGAGTATTTGTGCCATGCTAACATGTAAATATCAGGTAATGCACCCAAAAACGTTAAGTTCCGCGAACGTTCCCGCTCCCGATCTCCGCATCGCAATGGCACAAGGGCCCGGTCACCCCCTCGAGGCCCCAAGAGTGACCGCTATGACGACCGCAACGATCCTCGATCCCGGGATGCTGGGCGGAAGGCAACTGGCACACAACCAGGACCAGATCGTCACGAGGATGAAATGGAAGTAGACTTCAACGAAGATGCGGACGAGGACGACATGGAAGCACAAATGCGAAAGGCCATGGGTTTCAGCAGGTTCCGGAGCACAAAGAACACCAAGATCCCCGGGAACAACATCTATGGTGTGAGAAAGGAGAAGAAGATCGAGTACCGACAGTACATGAACCGCCAGGGCGGTTTCAACCGGCCTCTCAGTCCCTCACGGTGAATCCTTACATCCTTACTATTCTTACGGTCTCATACTTTTTTTGTATTCAAAAACTCTGGACATTTTTCTGCCTTTTTCGACACGATATGCATTTGCGGAGTATTGTTTTGGTGGCTTGATGTTTTACCTTCTCATTCAACGGCCCAAGCCTTTGTGGATTTTCCTACCAATTGCATTAGTTCAAATATTAGTGAACCAAAAGAATTATGCGAATTTCATACTCAAAACCTGTAAAAAAGCCGGTTGAAATGGACCTATTGCGGATGCGATATATGACTGGACATACCAGATCTCCAGTGACGTAGCTAGCCCTGGGGGCATCTCGGTATATGTACAAGTACAGCTCGGTCCACGGGTCCAAACTTGTCAGTTACAACTCCCTACGTAGTGGCTTCTTCGTTACAATCATCAGCACCCAAGATAACGACAAAATTCAAGATGTCGGTGACAGGAGATCGGCGTGAGATTGTTATTGTTGGTAAGAATAGATTGTTTACGACTTCATACCCCGCGCGCTACATTCGCAACTCGCTGACCGAAATACTTACAGGTGGTGGCATCATTGGATGCTGCTCTGCATACTACCTCACCAGACACCCATCGTACGACCCCGCCCGCCACAAAATTACACTCATTGAGGCCTCTGAAATCGCCGGCGGGGCATCAGGAAAAGCGGGTGGTATGCTGGCGCAATGGGCTTTCCCGAGCAATCTCGTCGGCCTCAGCTACAAGCTGCATGCCGAACTTGCAAAAGAGCACGATGGTACCAGCCGATGGGGATACAGAGAAGTCAATTGTGGCCAACTCGTCGTGAGAGGTCGTGCTCTCGCTGAGAATACTGCAGGGAAAGCCGGGGGTGGGGATACGGAATCCCTCCAGAAACGTAGCGCAGCGGCCTTGTCTAAGCTTAGGTCTGCCAAAATCCCCCGCAACTTGGATTGGATTGAGCCAGAGCTACTTCGCGCTTATGAAAGTATGAGTGGACCGGGCGAAACCGCTCAAGTGCACCCATACCTATTTACTACGTCCATTGCAGAGCTTGCCCAGGAGAAGGGGGCAAATATCATTATTGGACAGGTTACAGATATCGCTCGGTCCAAGAGCTCCGTCGAGTCAGTGACATACATCGATAATACATCGGGTGATACTCAAACCATCGCCGCTACCGATGTGCTCGTTGCTGCTGGTCCCTGGACGAAGACTATCCTCCCGGAGGTCCCGATCTCAGCCATGCGGGCCCACAGCGTGGTGATCCAGCCAAAGAAACCAGTCAGTGCATACTGCCTGTTTACAAACATCGAAATCCCGGCCGACTTCAACCCCCAAAAGAAGTCACGCCCAACTGTGGCTGCACCAGAGATCTACGCGCGTCCTGATGACACTGTCTATGCATGTGGTGATGGAGATAGGACAGTTCCACTACCAAATCTTTCTGCGGATGTTGAAGTTGACCAAACTCGCTGCCAGGAAATCATAGACCATGTGGGTAGTATTTCTGACGAGCTTCGGGACGGGGAGGTTCTCACTCGGCAGGCTTGCTATCTTCCAAACTCTGACTCAGGGGCCGGGCCATTAGTTGGCCTCACTGATGTGAAGGGACTGTATCTTGCAGCTGGCCATACCTGCTGGGGTATCCAGAATGCACCGGGTACAGGGAAGCTCATGAGCGAGTTTGTATTTGATGGCAAGGCGAAGAGCGCGAAGATTGGATCGTTGGACCCGCGCGAGTTCATGTGAATACATACTTGATACCACGGTGTCTATAGCAAGAAATATAGTACATCTTCCTTCTATTCTGTTGAATGCATATTGATAATGAGACATAGTACATACACATACTTGGAACCTTACTGTAGACAACATGAGCACTAAAGCGGAAAAGGAAAGGCGGATGACGTCCGGGGACATTGTTTGGTACGCATATGAGACTAGTCCCAATTAGGTAGGCGGTAAACGGAGGTAGATACACCTATAGCTTAATGCTGCGAAGAGGACAGCAGTCAATTGAGTGAGGCTACATAATGCGTCACCTCAGGATCTCAGTGTTTTTGACGTCGCTGCTGTGTGCAACTGGGATTTTTGCTAGTGAAGATTTCAATGATGTGTCCGTCTTAACTCGAGAGGCCGGACGCGCTAGCAACGAGTCCTTGCTATGGGGTCCCTACAAGTCGAATCTCTACTTTGGGGTGCGTCCTCGCATTCCGAAGAGTCTCACGGCGGGATTGATTTGGGGAAAGGTTGATGATTATGCCGGTGCTCAACAAAGTATGTGATTATTGGTAGCCCGGTTGCATTGGTGAATTGTGAAGCTGACATCCACCAAAGACTTTAGACACACATGTGAACAAAATGAAGGAATGGCCGGCTATGGCTGGGACGAGTACGATATCCGGAAGGGTGGACGGGAAACCATTCATGATGCTGGGAACAGCTTGGACTTGACAATCGATTTCATCAAAGTTCCTGGTGGCCAGCACGGAGGTAGCTGGGGATTCCGAGTCAAAGGCACACCTAGAGAGGGCGCTGATCCCGACCAGCCCATCACGATGATCTTTTATTCTACTCTTGAGGGCTTCGGTCACTTGGGAGCCCATTCTGCGTCCTCTGAATCCACTGGCGTGGAAGGCAATGTCAAGCTCGAAGGATACTCCGCAGAACTTGGTGATTTCGCCATCGATGTCACCACTGGACCGGAGACCAACTCGCACCCCCGCTACGATCATCCTAGTTCCACAGACAAGCCATTGGATCGCAGTTTTGTAGCTAGTGTGGCTTTCCCAGAGGAGCAACTTTGGCAAGCAAAGGGCATCTTCTTCACTCAGTTGAAGGCGGAGGTTGATGAAGCCCTTGAAGAGTATGGAAAAGAGAACGTCCCGCCCCCGGCCCAGCTGTTCACTATCAAGCACAGACCGGGCCAGGGCAATGCTCATCTTGTTCAGAAGGTCTTCGCCGGTGCATTCGAGTTCGATGTCCTGTTCTCCTCCCGCTCCGCCCCGGAACCGTTGACTTCGGAAATCCTCACTAAGGAAATTGATGATGCTTCGGCTTCATTCTCTGAGACTTTCGAGCAGCTTCTCAAACCACAGGCGCCATTCGACTCGCCGAAGTACTCGAGCTTCTCCAAGGCAATGTTGTCTAACCTCATTGGCGGCATTGGGTTCTTCCACGGTGATGATGTCGTGGATCGGTCCGCAAATCCTGCGTATGAAGAGGAGAATGAAGGCTTCTGGGAAGAGACCGCCGAGGCCAGGGCTGCCGCGCAGCCTGCTATCGAAGGCCCTAAGGAGCTTTTTACTTGTGTTCCCTCCCGGCCGTTCTTCCCTAGAGGATTCCTTTGGGATGAAGGTTTCCATTTGATGCCCGTGATCGAATACGATACCGATCTTGCGTACGTTTACATCTACTTTCGTTTCATTGACTGTGTTTGATATACTGACTTTTACAGGCTCGAGATTATCAAGAGCTGGTTCCACTTGATGGATGAGGATGGGTGGATTGCCCGTGAACAAATCCTCGGCCAAGAGGCACGCAGTAAGGTTCCCCCGGAGTTTACGATTCAATATCCCCATTACGCAAACCCGCCTACTCTGTTCATGGCCTTGGAAGCATTCATGGACAAAGTCAAGGCCAACAACAACAAGAGCACCGAGTTCGCATCCCTGGACAACCAGGATGCGACCGCGAGCCTGCGCTCTGCCACTGTCCGACACCCAGAACTGTCTGAAGCATACCTTCGCTCATTCTACCCGCTCCTTAAGAAGCACTACAACTGGTACAGGAACACTCAGCGCGGTGACATCAAGTCGTATGACCGCGAAGCATTCTCGACCAAGGAAGGTTACCGCTGGCGCGGACGTTCCGTGCAGCACATTCTCACTTCTGGCATCGATGACTACCCCAGAGCTCAGCCCCCGCACCCCGGTGAGCTGCATGTCGATTTGATCAGTTGGATGGGAATGATGACTCGCGCTATGCGCCGCATTGCCGAGAACCTCGGTGAGGAAGAAGATGCGGAGCAATTCGCCTACTACGAGACCGCTATCACTCGTAACATTGATGACTTGCATTGGGACGAGAAGGAGCAAACCTTCTGCGATGCGACTATCGACGAATATGAAGAGAGCGTGCACGTCTGCCATAAGGGTTACATCTCCATCTTCCCCTTCCTGACGGGTATGCTGGGCCCTGACAGCCCACGCCTCAAAGCTGTGTTGAACTTGATCGGTGATCCCCAGGAGCTGTGGAGTGACTATGGTATCCGCAGTTTAAGCAAGAAGGATAGGCTCTACGAGACCGATGAGAACTATTGGAGGAGCCCTGTCTGGATTAACATCAACTACTTGGTGTTGAAGAATCTCTATGTAAGTGCTTCCACCTTTTGATTCATTTGCCCACAATCTGACCGAGCCTTCACAGGACACTGCAACAGTCTCCGGTCCTCACCAGGAACAGGCGCGGGAGATGTACTCCGACTTGCGGAAGAATTTGGTCGAGAATGTCTTCCGCGAGTGGAAGAGGACTGGATTCGCATGGGAACAGTACAATCCTGACTCGGGCAATGGCCAGCGGACACAGCACTTTACCGGCTGGACCAGTATGGTGGTGAACATGATGTCCATGTCTGATTTGGCCGGACCCGGAAAGACCACTCATGACGAGTTGTAAGCTATTGAACCTCGATGTGAAAAATTCTCGTCACGTAGATTAGATAGTGGTCATTCTGATAGTGGTACGCAATCGTTTATCCGACATTTGAATCGATTCCTCCAACGCCAAGCTAATTTATTGATTCATATCCCTGGTTTGCAGCTCAGTGGCGGCGATCATAGTCATCTCGGTCTCGTCTACGTTCGGGATGTCGCCGACGCTCAGCCGGAGAGTAGCTGCGCTCCATCCGTCGTCGTTTCTGGTGTTCTTCGTCTTTACGACTGGGTCGACTCCTAGAACGGGAAAATGAGCGCCGTCTGTGGTGATCTCGACCGCGAGATCGTGAGCGGGATCTGTGACGATGGCTGCGATGATGGCGCTCTCGGTCGTCATGATGTCTGCGGTGCCTCCGGTCCTTCTCACGTGCAGGATCGTCGCCCCGGTCATGTCGCCTTTCCCGTCGTGGGCTTCGGGTTCGCTCGCGTCTGTGTCGGTGACTCGAGCGGTGGTCTCTTTCCCTTGTCGTGGCATCTGGCATCTCTTCTTCTTTTGGCGCAGTATCGGTATTACTAGGGCCTCCTAAAGGAACCATATTGGCATTCTCGGATGCTTTAGGGGGCACCGGGAGGCCCAGCGCGACAGCCATTGCTTCCTCCTCCGCCTCCTTGACACGTTGAAGTTCCTCTCGCTCTTTACGGGTTCGTTCTTCCTCGTCTTCGTCTGCCTTGGCATACCAGTTGAGATCACGATTTTGTTGCCATCTGCCAACTGGCGCCATCACTGAGTGCCCTAGGTAGTTCTCGCGGTGGGCGGAAGTTTGGACGTCGGACCATTTGAACTCATTGCGGCCACCGCTGAGACAAAAATTAGCGACCTTCAACATATCTAGAATGAGGACAACTAGTTAATCAACTTACCGGCTGCCTTCTTTGCGTACACCAGCAACCAAATCCATCATGCGACAGAGCGGTATTGAAGATACCTATGTTGCTGGAAGGAGAAAGCCTAAACCCTCGAAGCTCTACGTCTGTACGTAGTCAAGGGCGGTCTGTGCGCAGGCGGTCAGCCATTCCATCATCGGATCATTGCACCTCCCCGCAGACATGGAGGTGTTTTCGACCAGCTTGATCATGATCTGTTTACAAAGTTCTCACCCTTCTGTCTCTTGTGCCTTGGACTTTCCACTCTTGGAAATGACAAAACAAGCCTCTTCTCTTTATATTCACGACTTTCTCTGCTCAGACCCAAGGAAGTATTGTTCTCTGCGTTCCGCCATTGGAAACAAGCACCCTTAGCCTACGGCAATGTCTTTTTCTCCCATTGAGGATACTGGCTCTACAGACCTTGAAAGGGAGACTCAACGATATCGGCCTCAGGTACAAATTTTGAATGTTGAAACAGAAGAGGAACGGGTATGTTTCTCTTCGAATTATCTCACGTGAGAACTATGAACTGACTTGTGCTAGTTTCCTAGGTGGGTATTTACGCTTGTACTGCCTAAATTTACTGTGACTGATCACCATTAAGCTACAGTGATGTTGCTAGGCCCACTGTATCTGCTTGGAGGTGTAACTTGGTGAGTACCTGTTGATCTAGTCGCTGTTTCTTTCAACTGTATAATTTTTCCTCAGTTCTAACGTTGAGTTTGAAAGGCGGCCCTCTCGCAGCGTCGGAATATGCTTTTTACAGCTCAAGTCGACGATATTTACGTATGGATTCCACGTGGACCTCACCAGCTCCTTGGTTCCCAACCCGAGATGATCATTCACCCAGCCATGAAGCAACCCAATGCGCCTGGATACATCGATCGTTCTAGGCCTCATACGATCAACCATATCCTTGTGGATGATTTGGGGGTCGATGAGGTCTTACTGTTAGCAACAGACTCTGGAAACGTCACTGGCTATAATGTCGAGGCTATTTTCTCAGCAATCAATAGGAGCGCCAAATATGGAGGCGCTCGACCATTTGATGCGCATGAAGTAAAACCTTTCTTTGCTGAACATGTTCAGTTAAGTGCCTGGGGCTTGGCCACCCACAAATTCGCTCGGTTGATTGCCGTGAGTGCGAACACGGGCGTTATCACTGTCTTTGCTTTCGCGTTAGTGGATGCCGTGCCTGAGCGTGACGGTAGCAGTCCCAGTTCCTCTGAGAACTCAAATATGGGAGGATTTGATGTATTGGAAAATACATGGGTATCAATAGACAGTGCATCGTTGATGGAGGAGCTAAAAAAGGACATACCCAATCATCGAACACGCAACCTGCGGCTCACCTATAATGGTCATATTGAGAACATCCCATGCGTGTCGTTTGCCAACTTTGAATTGGACCCCAACGCTCTATGGATGGTCAGCACCGATATCGTCAACCGAGTTCTTTTATGGAGAATTTGGGACCGCCTAACTCCGGTCAAATCAACTAGTTATGATTGTTCAAGGGGTGGTCGAGAGCAAAGGGGCTGGTTTGTCTTGCCTCTACATCCTCGCAGAGTTCAGCAGCACCACTTCAAATCTGATGCCTGTGGATGCGAACCAAAGCCAAAGATGATAAACGGTCGGATGGTTTTTGATGTTACAGAAGCGGCTGATCATGTCGAAGCCAGATCCGACCTCGCTTCGCAGAAAGTCGCTGCTGAGGAATATGCAACAATTTCGAACCTTACTCTACCAGACGATATTTTCCCCCTTAACGGTCCTGTTCATACTGAATCCCAACTGCAACCATCGAGCTCAGAGCATGGTCATACTACTCTAGAAGCCTCCGAGACTGCTTCTCATCCCACTGCCAGTGGCACCATTCATATCGTCACTGAAGTACCACAGAACTATGGGGTGGCTTCACCCCGTCGATCGATTCGCGTGAGGCGTGGTATTTCCAATTTGATTGAAGAAGAAAATGAGCAATGGGGCTTGGATCGTGCTGTCGACGCGGATCGTCTAAGAGGCTTTTTTCGTTTCAGAGATGTTCCTCATCGTAAGTGAGCGATGTGCTTCAGTGTATTGGACTAGAATACTAACGTCTTATTCAGCGTGCAACCCTCGGTTTTTCCCTATTCTCCACTTTTCTGGGAATAACATCACTTTAGATCCTTATCCATTGGACGATGAATTGCGGACGCTCTCTCGGTCTCCACTTGAATCGCTGTTAGAAAATTCCATGTTCACTTCCTGTGATCGTTTAAACTTGGTCAAATACATCCCTGAACTTGGGATCGTTATTGCCGCCTCCCAAGCCGGTGGAGTTGCCATCATCACTCTTACATGGCAGGAGGAAATTGGCCACACCTTTCGCCTAGACTGGCTCCTCCCTTTCCCCACCCAGGAGAGGGACGATGAATGTCCAACACCACCTCTTATGGGCCTTGCTGCAAGCCCCATGCCTGGATTTGAGATACCGCCGGATGTCCCTTGTATTCCTCGGGATGTCAACCCAAAGGATCGTTTGAGGTTCAACCACCGTCTGCTGAACCCAGATAAAGATGAGGCTTGTGCCGCAACCCCACCCGAATGCGGAGCTTCCAGTCCCTTTGGCGATGTTACCGCTGGATCCGAAGACCCGAACCTCACAATTCCTGAAACACATGCCTATGCCTCGGACATCTACCAACCTCACGAGACCTGGCATGGCTACCACCCTTCTCGACATTACAGGTTGCTTTTGCTCTTCTGTGATCTCACGGTCATGAGCTATGAGTTCTGGCACGACTGGAGAGGTTGATCACAATCACCAAGTTAGATTGTGCTTTTTGAATCATGGGTGCAAGGGGCATGCATGTCCATCCACACCAACAGAACCAACAGATCTACCCGTGCTAGTACGTAATTGTACAAGTTCATGTCAAATCAACTTAATTGAGCAATCCAAAGCATCCATGTCAATATTCCATGTTATATTCAATAACAATAGTCGAGAAATAGTATCATCATCATTCAACGTGATTAATTCGTACAGTGGTCACTTGAGGCTCTAACCATGGTGAGCCTGATTGGTCCCGGGGAAATAAGCTTAAATGCGATGTTTAGTCACCGGAGACGAAGTTTGCTTTTCCAAGGTCCGCACTTCAATATCAAATTTGCAAGGTTGGAACCTTGGAAGATAATATTCCCATATAATCTAGCCATCCAGCGCACCCCAGCCTAATATATTCCTCAGAGCTGTGCTTCGAAGTCGGCCCTGACAGCCTCGTGATCTCGCGAGACCTGATTCACGAACTTCGAGTATCGCCATTCAAACTCTATAATAGTATGAATGAAGCATTCATAGATCTTATATTTATATTAGAAGATGGGAGGCAATGGCATCATGTCCCGTGCCCGTCGTATTTGTTTTACTTATTTCTATATCTTCTAAAGGCTTCGCTTGTCTACCAGCACAATGCAAGAGTCCTACTCGAGAAGGCGCCAACGAGCGGTAGGCTACGGACTCCGTTGCTTGGATGCCAACTTCGCGGGACTTCCCAACGCAGTTAACAAGCAAAGCCTGCCTCGCAATACAAATTATCTTCGACCGTGGGCTGGGCCCGGACCTTGGGACTAAGTCGTCTTGGGTGGACGTTCGATTTCATAAGTCGAATTTTGTTAAGCAATGCGTCCTCCGATCCAAATTCGAATACTTTTTGGCTTGTATTCCCGCATTACTAATGTATGTTCAGTATGGAAAGTACGTAGAATGCTCGGTTTTAAGTCCCAAGTTTATGGTAATCTCTTGCCTTGGATATCTTTTACCTCTACATCCACACCCGAACTCGCTTTGCGGAACGGAAGGATGTGTCTTCAAACGGGGTCATTCATGTGCCATTCCTTATTATGATGTACCAGTTACCTACATGAGTTTGGCATCCATTTTTCGGCCCCTGGGGCCACTTACTAACCTTGGCGCTACCTTGGCATAATCTCGGCACTAACATCGGGAGACAGTCGCATTGTACCGTAAACCTACTATAAATAGTTGAGCACTTACTTCCTCCATGCAGTTCCCAGTCTTGTATTCCATAGTTATACAATAATAGTCCTTTGTTCAGCAGAATATATAGGATTGAACGAATGATCGGTAGCGGAAAGGAATTAGAAAGGGTAAATTGATTCGATGGTAATGATAAAATAATTTATTATTGCACTGGGTCCCCGGCCCGGGGGAGTGGGGGCGGAGGCTAGGATCCTTATCACCCCGAGAAGGACCCTGCATATGACTGCACGAGAAGCACGGAGTACATATAACCCATTTCGACATTTGGGGGTCGGAGATCGTCTTGAAGTCGTATACAGAGCAGTGGGGACTATACTAATATGTATAATGATCGTCTATGATAGGCAACAGTTCAAATCTTTCGCCCAACAGCCCTTCACAAAGATGCCCTCATTTCGGCATCGTTCAGCAAGTACGTGGATGGTATTCCTCAACATAGTATTAAGCATCGGATACCCTCGTTCTCATCTATCTGTACCAGTAGCTTGTGAGCATTGTCAACTTTAAGATGCCTCGAGTATCCACAAATATATGCCTTAGGGAGAACGGGCTCGTGGGCAATTTCTCAAACAGGCAATTGGTCGAATACAATAAGCCTTTCCCATACCAATGAGCTAGACAGCTATTACCATGTGAATTCAGGGGACCATATAAAAAAGTGTGTATAAATATGGCCCTTTGCTTGTACCAGAGCCGGCTTCCCAGCAAGCTATATCTTCAGTCATCTGGTGACTTGGCTACTTAATTTCGTCACTCGTTTCATTGGCCTCAAGGCGATACACCGGGATGCATTTCAGCCAGTTTGGTGCACTGTTTTACCTCCTGGCTCCAGCCAGTGGTATAGCAGTTAGGCCTTATCCCCGAGCAGTCTCTTCAGCACCGTCAGGAACCCGCATTGTCGTGCCCACTGCGGCGCCAAGTCCACTAACCGGTGCGTCAGGTCCTGGCCAGAATGGCTCGGCCCTTTGGCAATCAGCACAATGCGACCAGTATGGTATCGACGATGCTACTATCGCTTTCGGAGATCGTTGGATTGCGGCAGATGTTCCAGGAGCCTGGAATGCGATGCTTGACGAGTGGAAGAGAGGATCTAAAGATGGCATGTATCGTGGCCTCGCATTTCCGGAGTTTACCAGTTACTACTTCCACGGTCCGGAGCATTGGAACTGTAAAGATGTTGGTAGCGTCCCATGCTCTACCGTTGTCCAGTGCAAGGACGTCAATCATCCAGCAGGGTATGGTTTCAGTCATTCGGTCTCGCCTGGCTCCAGTACAGTCGTGTTGACAGCATAATAGCTATCTTCTCTTGAATTCTTTCTCTGGTATTCATCAGGTGAGCTCGTCCTTGCCCCGATCTTCAACGTTTGAGCAAAGGATATTAACCAAAAGAAATTACAGCTACACAGTGAAATGCACGATGCACTCAATACGGCGATGATTGAAATCCAAAGCAAGATAGGGGAATTTTCCTCCATCTTTGCTCCCCAGAGTGATGACACCAAGATTATCCTGGCAATTTTTGACTCCTTGACCACCCTTATGGGCTTCAGTGTTTCGGCGTTCTTCAGTGTCGGTAAGTATAAAGGCCCCTATTTTCGATTTGAAGACTTTCAGATCATGGATTAACGAGAGTCCAGTTCAAAAGGATGTCGCAAACGCGGCCCAGTCTATCTCTAGTAGCCGTGGAAGCCTGAATGGTCAGAAGGTGCAAGATTGGTTGAAAGGACCGGTGCATGAATTCGATGGTAGAGCTTATGCCAACGACATGACATACCAAATTTATGCCATCACGGCGGCCTGGACCAGGAACAATGCTCCTACGTAAGCCCATATAGGGCCCCTAGACCCCCTGGGCAACTGTCCTTGCTAATTAGAACAGGGTTCATGATAAACTTGGGGCTCAGAACTCACTGAGCTCCGCTCTCGGCGACCTATTCGCAGCTTGGAAGGATACTGAGGTCTCCTATCTACAGACCATCTTTTCGGGCGATGATTCATCACAGAACAACCTTCAAGCCCTCATTGGAGATGGCAAAATGAACTTTGTGCCAAACCAACTAAACCAAAACAATATGGCAGCGGAGTTGCAGGCGGTACTCTACGGTCAACTGATGCCTACTGCGTGGAAGACCGCCTCCGATGGCGCCGGTGCCCATCCATTCATCCTGTAAGGTGACTCGACTCCTTATTTGAGAACATGGTGCTAATCAGGATGCCTACCACAGGAAGACAGATTTTAGCTGTGACAACAAGGCCGCTAATATCCCCGAGATCCACGACTATCAGATCATGACTGATGCGGACTCTGCCAGCACACGTGCGTGCTGGAGGGACAAGCTGGTTTTCCTTGTAAATGCTAACGAATGGGACTTTTTCAATCAAGTCCACTTCACACCACTCCCCGGTGCGGATAGTACCAACCTCTCCGGAGGTAAATGGGGAGGCATCACAATTGATGACATTGTTGCAAGTGCAATGACCGGATATGAGGACGCTGGCTACAAAAACGGCTACAAGTCGCCGGGCATGGACGAGATTGAGAAGGATAACAATGCCGATAAATATGGCAAACGGGTCCGCTACCCTGGTTTCTTCAACATCCCTGTATGCGAGGGCCTGGCGAGGACCAAAGGACGAATCATGGCCAATCACCATGCAACCTCTCCATTCTGGCCTTGCGATGCGCCTGATGACTTTAACGTCAAAGGAACTACCATTGTAAGTCCAACTTGTCTTTGACTTCTCAAGCACGGTACCAGTTGCTAACCACCGGTGTAGCATGTGAATAGGGGATGGATTACCGCTAATGGCAAGACGCCTGTCTGCGACACATTCAGTAAGTGGTTGGCCCTTCTTTGGTTCTGATCAAGCAGGCTTACGGTGTGATCTGCAGCGGTTGATGACCCAGGATATGGTGATACGCTCTCGGCAACCCTCTATGGACGATTCGATGGAGATAACACTTCTGAAGCCACTGTCAAGGCGAAGTGCAAGATTACTTTCTCCTGGCCGAAGTGGTGGGGCGATATCTATTATGGAGCGGACGATTGCATGTACGACGGCGAATCGAAACCCATCCCGGATGCAGATGGCAACCCCGTGTGTTGCCAACAGGACGATAACCTCACTGACATGGTCACTAACCCGTATGTGGTTGGAGGCGCGTGTAAGCCGAACTGATCTTCGATCCTTGAACTCCTTGTGAAGTGCAATATTATCCTGCTGGATGTCGGTTAAGGTGGGGATGAGGATGCTTTTGGTGGAGACAATCCCGTTCGGTGTCCAGAGGTGATTTCCCGTAAGATCATTTCACAAGGTTACGATTGTTTTGTCCCTTTTCCCCTTCTTTCGCTTCTTTCGCACTTCATGTGCCTCTTGTGTGCCAGTTTGGTAGACAGTCAATTTTACATATATTTCCGATGAGTCCTGATATCAGTGCATTGCTTGTTGGGTACTAAAAAAATCGATGAGTACACTGTACCGTACTCCCGAGACGCAAATGTCGGGATCCAATGTAGTCAAGCCCTTTTCAGCCCAGCTGAGTGAGATGAGAAATCGCAACAATCAAAAGCCCGAGTCTCACCAACGCAACTGATCTAGGTAGCAGAGAGAGGGAGAGAAAGGATTGAATTCTCTAAGATAGCTAACAAAGCTAGCTAAACTGTGGAGCCTGACAAACCAGGCATCATTGTCTCAAGAGGAACTCATTCTACGACCGGACACAAATCCAATTTTGCAAGAGCATCACAGACTATGGAGATGCACATCCGACGCCCAGCACAGACCCAGGCTCTCGCGATTCCCGAGATCGTAATATCAATCCTCCACCAAATGGACATGCAAACCCTAATGGCCGCCCAACGTGTCTGCCACGCCTAGGCACAACAAATCCGCAAATCACGCTCACTACAAAAAGCCCTATTCTTCATCCCGGCCAGCGAAAACAGCAGGAAAGTCACACGAGTCTACAACCCTATGCTAGCACCAGCATTCCACTCAGCGTTCCCATCAGAAGACCTGCGAGATGCCGGTCACGCAAGCGACAAAATAGAGGGTGTCAGACTCAGTGATTTCGATCTCACGAAAAGCCCGGCTAAGAGAGAGATGTATCTCCGGCCCGAAGCGAGCTGGCGGCGTATGCTGACGCAACAACCGCCAGTCTTCACGGTCGGGCTGTTTAGTATGGTGAGAGGGCCAATGGGTCTTTCTTGGTACCAAGAGAGGGCAACACGGCAAGATGAGGGACTTCGTATGGGGGCTTTGTTTGACTGGTTCATTCATTTGGGACGCGATCAGTGGAATTCTGGGTCAATTGCAATTTGCCTGGGTGGAGCTGAACCTGTCAATACGCCGCTTGATATCAAGCGTTCGTGTACGTCTCTCTTTACGGATGGGATTAATGAGGATTGGAGGGCTACGACTGCAAGCTTCGATCTCGTGCTTATGACGAGGTCTGGGAGCACGTATATGGAACCTAAGGGGCCGGACGATCCTGATTGGGTGAAGGGTAGAGATGAGATTGTTTGGGAGGAGATTTGTGAGACTTCTTGCGAGTTGGGATTGACTGTGGCGGAGTTGAAGATGGAGGCTTATAATGAGGGATTCGCGGGGTGGAACTAGAGCATGCATTATTAGCACGGGAGACTGGGGTTTTGTATGAACACGGTGTTTACGTGGAGTCATTACTAGTAACTCACTATCAAAGGATACCAGACGGTCGGCAAGGATCTGCCAATGGATCCCAGCTGCTTTACAACATAGTGACGATGACACGGTGAAAGGTCAGAAACCACCGTCTGGAGCTGTCCATTCCATGGCTCGGTTGACTCCGTCTAAAGTGGAACATGACTTCATTTCTTGACCCTCACGGAATCCTTGACCGATGAAGAACTGTATGATCTCCTCCAAAGCTCCTTTTCCATCTTTATCACCCGACACTATATAAACTTACTTTCCCTCTCAAAACATTCACCCCTGACAGACTTCCAGATTCCACCTAGCATTCCATTCTTCTTATTTAACCTCAAAATGGCAAGTGTCTCACTAGAAATACCTCTGTATTACGCACTAACAATTTTATAATAGGCATCCAGCGCTAGAGTCAACGATGAATGCGTCGCAACATTCGAAAAGCTAAAGCTCGACAGGGAGTTCTCATATATCACGTACGCTCTTAGCGAGGACCATTCCGAGATTATTGTGGATAAAACCTCGGATAACCGAAACTACGAGGCTTTGGTCAACGATTTACCTTCGACAGAATGCCGATGGGTAGTTGACTTCTTTCAATATGAGATAGACGGTCGTAAAGGGACTCAACTGATACTTATCTGTTGGTAAGTTCTCTTGATCCCGCCAACCTGTTCAGTATAAAGTCGTTTCCGGAGGTTAATTAATAATATCGGGCTTAGGTCGCCAGATGAAGCGCCGGCAAAGCAGAAGACGGCTTTTGCTACATCGACAAATACCCTCAAGGAAAGTCTGTCTGGTATTCGAGTTGTGATAAAAGGGACAGAACCCGAAGAGATCTCGAGACAAAGAGGTATGTTGTTACTGTAACAATTCTAGGCTTATACGCGGCTAACCCTATTACGAAGTTACGGACCAGTGCAGGTATTAGTTGAGTAAGAGTGAATCTGAGGGAGAATGTTGGTCTACCATGTTATGTTGTAGATAGCCTTGCCTTAACTTCCTTCTCTTCTCCCATGCAATACATGATTCGTTTGCCATACTCTCTCTGGCCTCTAGACGGCTGACGGCTCGTATAGCCTTATCCTACCTTCTCACACTCCGTAGACTCATTCGAATATCAAGAGAGATGTGGGTAGCTGATCACGCTGCATGGATTACAAAGGAAGAAATTAAGATAAGATTAGGGCGTTTCGAATTGTAACTGATTTCGAATATCGCTGTATCTCCACCTCAGGCCTCCGGCTGTAAACCCTTTCCCTCCTTTCCTCCGTTCCAGGGCAATTTTAGCCTGCCAGACAGGGCCAAGTACGCCCGTTCTACTGGGCTTAGACAACGAGATCGGACCTGATCCAGACCAGATCGGGTCGGGCCGGCTCGGACGGAACCAGCAAACAGCTTTTAATCATCCCTGCCCAGGTGCTTCTAGGAATCAGGAGCTGTATCATATTATTGTGAAAACAAGGTTGGCAGCCGGCATCCCAACCAACCCCCCTAGAAACGGTCCTCCTGTCTCAGGACGACCAGCTTTTGATTGAATTGAAGGAAAAGGGGGCTTGCGACATAAGCGAATTGCAGAGTATTTCCCTAGCAGATCGGAGTTTCACTGTAGGTGCGCGATTCTGCACGCCTGAAGCGCCAATAGGAAGAGCGAATCTTTATACGGCGGTTTGTTGAGGAATAATACAATGCACTAGCACCAAATCACAACTTGGGACGGGGAGGTCACAATGATTGAGCCGCTGGAGCAATAGCGGTACTCTGTCGAATACATCATTCTCAGCTGGCGGATCACGTTGCGCCCCCTGTGAAGTAGCCCTTCTCCCGACGGATGAAAAGCAGCTCAACTTATCTTCCTAACTTGACCCGTCCCGGCCGCAAACTGTACGTAGCGCAGTGAACTAGTGACGTACAGCCTGGATGCGGCGGCCCGGGTCCGTGTTTAGGCTCATTTCTTCAGGAAATCCGGGGTCTATGCGGGGCCGGCGGGAGGCGCTATCTCCCCGAGGTACGACCAATAACTCTCCTCCGGTGGCGGGTCATCCCAGGTTCGAGATCATTGGATACTGCTCCGGCGGGGGATACTGTCGAACATGTTTCTACTCCATGCATACCCAAGAAAGGCAAACGAGCGAGCCATGAAATCGGATATACACTCACTGCCTAGAATATTATAATCACCGGTGAAATTCCCCGGGAGAAGGGGAGGGTGAGGTACATACTCAAAACTTCCATATCTCTCCCTTCGGCCGGTAGGATAGCTTATCATATCTATACTACATTGTTACCTTGACGCTGGAGAAGCTTGGTCCACTGAAAATTCCCACAGACAGAATCAATAAGCTTTGCAGTCGAAGACGGTTGAAGGGCCAGGGAGAACATGCTCTTGAAGGACAGGGAGTACTCTTCCATGAAACACAATAGCCGTATCATCCCTTCTAGGCATAATGTAATATATCGGACGACCCTTCCATTCAGAGATGTGACCAACGTTCTATCAGGAAAACCTGGGAGCCTTGCCTTTTCCCATCCTTTCAACGCTGAATGATGACTGCGCTTCGGTATTGGCAGAGAATTGGACATCCTTCCAAATTTTTCAATCCTAGTTGCCAGCACGGGCACTCAAATCGCTTCCCCGTTCTTTGTTACATCCGCAGCGACCTTGGTTAGACTGGTCGCCCATTCATAGTCGAGTCGCTCACTTTTGCTAACGAGGATGGCGTGGCCCTCTCGGACTAGAGCCAGAAAATCTATATTGTCAAAATGTCTCAGCCACGCTATGATGTGTGGGTGATCAGCAACATCTTCAACAGAGCGCGCAAAGAAATTGAACGTAGGAGGAATGCGCTTCATCGCTCCCCATCGCTCCAGTACATGGCGATACGGTAGCTAGCTGCCTCCCCCCGACTCTAGGACAGATTAGGCAAAGAGTAGTATTCGAGATCTCTAATAGAGGTTTGCTACTACTGTATTGCCCGCTCTAGTCACGCACGATTATAAGCCAACGCCTAGGGAGTCCGGAGAGTTTGCATCCAACTTTATTTCGATATTGCTCTGAAACCCCGCTCCGCACTTGACTATCTTCATTCTAGCCTAAATGCAATGGGTAAATTGGGGTTAAATTCGTCAACCCGCTAGTTCCACTGATTCTGGGTATGGAAACATGTCGTCCTAGTCAGTAATGGCTCCTTAGGTATACCCTCCGAATGGTGGGCCTACAAGCTGGAACCGTAGATCATAGGACCCTTCCCAAAGATCTCCGATGGGGGTGGGACTTGTGCGGGGAAAGATTTAAAAGGACCCTAGTAGCCCTAGATGACAACTATCGCAATCGTCTGGTACTCCATACGACCCATAGACCAGAATTCAAATTCTGAATTCGTTGTCATAATGAAACTCCCTGCTTTTGCCTTCCTCGCTGGCCTTGTGGCCAGTACGGCCGCACAACAGGTCAAAGTCAGTGAGTAACCACTTCCAGACAGCATCTCACATTCGCGGCAGTACGTTGACCTGGGGTGGGGATCTAAATAGTGCTGCTCGGCGATTCCATTACTGAGATCACCTGCTGGAGAACCCTAGTGTGGGACCAAATCACATCAGCCGGGTTGGCGGGTAGTGTCGACTTCGTCGGCACCATGGACACCCTCCAATCTAAGTGCTCGAGGCCGCAAGGTTTTGATCCGAACCATGAGGGCCACTCAGGCTGGCAGGCGTATGATATTGCCAGAAACAATATCGCGGGCTGGGTTCAGAACGCCAAGCCCGATATTGTTCAATTCATGCTCGGCACCAACGATGTCAACATCGGCAAGAGGGACGTCGAGAGCATCATCGGCTCGTACACAATCATGCTCGACGCCATGCGTGCCGCGAACCCCAGGGTCAAGGTGATCGTAAGTTATGCTTCCCTGCTTATATATGACTCTTCATCTTCCTGGTCAGACGCTGACGCACATCTTCCTAGGTCGACAAGGTGCTGCCGACAAGCTGGAACGACCCGACTATTGAGGCCCTCAACAATGCCATTCCAGCCTGGGTACAGCAGCGAACAACAGCGGAGTCTCCCGTTGTTATTGCCGACTGCTCACGGGCCGCCGGCTTCACCAACGCTATGCTGGACGACGGTGTCCATCCTAATAGCCAGGGGGACCAATTCATCGCAGGGCAGATCGGCCCCAAGCTGATACAGCTCATCAACGACGTTCGAGGTGGTAAATAACCGGCGACAGCAAACTTGAGGCAGTTAAGATGCCTTTTGCGGCCGAACGCAGCCTTCCTAGCAGATATTGGAGAAGATCCTAACAAGTCCCAGGAGAGGCGAGATTTCAGCGAATGATACAGTTTCAATTGAAATGTCGGGAATGGGGGTCGAGAAAGGGAGATGGGATCTCCTTCTTGGCGGTGCCTTTGCGCGTGTAGGGAGGGCAAGACTCAATACTGCTTGTCTGAGAAATACGGCAGGCACATCAGGGTGAGTCGTTGGGCTCTAACCTTGGAAGCCTAGAACATCTTTTGGTAATCAGGAAAAATGTCATAAGAAATGTCATCTTATACCCATGCTCAATGGAAAGTTGCTGCATACACCTGGTCAGGTTAAATGACCATAGAGGACAGTAAATCCACATAGCCTTGCTTTACAGTCAAAGGTCAATCACGATGAAACTATGCATGTATCAAAAAAAGCAATATCAAATAGGCGAGGCGTTAAACGACACACGTTATATGCGTGGGAAAGTATGTATGAACATTGCCTGCGCTTGGCCAGTGAGTAAAACCTAGTATATGAAAATCAGAAGCAAATTGAAACGAAAAAAAATCAAAAAGAAAAAAGAGCAAGAGCGAAACGAGACGGAGTGTGACAGAAGACGAAGGGGAATTGATGAAAAACACAAACCAGAAAAGGAAGGGAAAATGCGAATAAAAATAAAGGAAAAGGAACATGAATTCGTTGTATGCATCAATGTCATTAAGACGCTTTTTGAATGGGAACAAAAGACCAAAATTCTTATGTCACGGTTGAATGTCGAGTCGTGCACATATAGAACCTTGATCTAGAAGTCATCGTCCATCTCATCGCTATCCCATTCGTCTTCACGGTCGTTTTGTACTAGATCCAAAAATCGCTGGAGACCAGGATGTGCTTGTGCTCTACCTGGTCGGATTGCAATAGCCTCCCATCGAATGGGGCCGTCTTCATCCGCCAATGGTTCTGCAGGAACCTCTGCCCACCGTACAGGACGTCTGGGATCACCTGCCTGAGGAGGGAGATGCTGGGGAGGAACTCCCGCCCATCGGACAGGACGTCTACCTTGTCGCCTCGCATTTCGGTTTCGTACCTCGGCCATGGCACGAGCTTGGGCTTGACGTTCAGCCGCAGCAGCACGGGCAGCTGCGTGATCACGCTGGCCAGGTCTGCCGCCATCGTGGTTGACTTGGGGTGGAACGGGAGCGGGAGGAGGAGGGTGTCGGTGGAGGTCGTCTTCGTCGTTATCAAATTCAAATGCAGGGCGGTCATCATCGCTTTCATCTGTTTCTTCGTGAATGGCTACCGCATGCGGATCATCGTCAAAGTGTAGGAGTGCGTCTGGGATGCGGTGGAGTGCTTCGGCTCCGTCGGGGTTGATGCCATCACCACCTTCCAAATCCCAAAGACGATTGAAGCATTGGCCTTTCTCGTCATTAAAATGTCTGTACGGGTTGTCTGCACACAGCCACGCCGAGCAAAGGTAGCAGAAGTGTGTGTCACACTGGAAGCAACGCATGTGATTGCATCCCATTTGCTTTTGGCAAGGCACGTTGCAAGTCGGGCAAGGGGTAGTGTACAGACGCAGATACTCTTCGGTTGCCTTTTCCTCTTCTGTGGGCTCGCCGTCCCGGCGTGGGAAGCAGCGTACCAATTCGCCATGCCAGCCCTTCTTACAGACGCAGCAAAAGGCGTAGTTGCAGTCTTCGCAGATAGACACACGCTCCGCCATGGGAGGAAGCTCTCCATCTTTGACTTCACTGCAGGGCTCGGATCCATCTTCTTCGTCAGAACTATTCAAGTCGTCGGACATGGGATCTTCAGGCTTTGGGTGTCGCTTGGACCGTGCAGCTCCCTGGCACCATTGGCGTGGACAGTAGACTGTTGTTTTATCGGCTTCAATCTTTTTCTTCCTCTTGAGGAATGCATATCGTCGAACCGTTTCAGTGGCCAGAGGAATCTGGAGTAGCTCGCTTGGTCCCAGGGTACGATCACGCTTCTTGCGGGGCGCGGTCTGGCCGTCGCCTGGTACGGCTGCAGGTCTCTTGTTGTACTCGCAATCCGGCGCCATGCATTTCACACTGTCAACAATACCTTCGGTGATGCAGGAGTTGTAGAAATCCTGCAAGCATTGAATGCAGAATACGTGGGAGCAGCGAAGTAATCGATAGCAGACGGTGCCCTTCTTCGGTTCAAGGCATACGCCACATTCAAAAGTCCCCTGCTCAAACTTTTCTCGTTCGGCTTTTTTGTTGTAGTCCAGTAGTCCAATCTTCAGGTCCCGCGATAGACATACTTCCCCAGACGGATCCTGGATATTGAAAGTTGTTTCTGCAAGCTGCTGGAGGTGGTCGATGTACGTAAAGACGACCAGATCCTTTCCACATTCTTCCCAGAGTCGGTGGCAATCGCTTGACAACTGATCGATAACCGAGGGAGGTAGCCATGATGGGATCGTTCTCAGGTGAACGATAGGTGACTTTTCGGTTGGGTAGCCCTCTGGCAATTCGATCTCGAGATTAAGCGGAGGCAAGTGCGAAAGGAGATGAACGTCTTTAACGGGTGGCTGGTTGAGCTCTCCCTTAGAGTCATCTAATGAGGTTGGAGGGGTGATGGCGGCAGCCGCAGTATCGAGCGGTTGCTGAAAACATATTGAGGTTGGGGCGGAAGGTGCGACAGGAAGATCGAGAACGGCTTTGAACGGAGAGGAAGGATCGATTTGGATTTCTGGAAAGATGGCAGCAATCGAGGAAAGCTCGACCGAGCGATCATCCTCCGGGAAGTCGAGTTCGGTCATGGCGGGATGAAACCGAGTATGATCACTTGTGAAGATTTCTCAGGTGGGGTGGGTTGTATATTTGCCTCCGATGTGATGCCAGTGGATCGCAACTTGGAGACAACGGTGTCTCCTGCAAGAAATCTTAGAAACACTGGCTCATGACTGTCGTAAAAGAAAAGCCTTGGAAGGTAATAATGATGACCGATCCCAAGTGAACTGTCACTAAGGACGATCGGGCAGAAAAGGGGGGTTTCTATCCTGCAGGAAGATCACTTCGAATCAGCGTTGCGACTGAGACCCTGGTAAAAAAGTTTCAGACCAACCAAAGATGAAGATGTCCCGAGTATTCCTTCTATGGGCCAATGTTCGGCAGAAAGTCGGGAGGGGTCTAAAAGATGATGCAATAGAGAGTCTGGGGTTTGGAGATAGAACAACGGCGTCATTGTTTGAAAGTGAAGTAATAGACGAAGACGATCGAATAAAGGAAGAAACCAGAAAGAGCCAAATATTAAGATCCAAAAAAGAAATGGCAAATCCCCTCGGATGCCTAAAAATGGAGGAGAAATAATTCGCCAGTCGAAGGTCCCCGCTGCCCAATATCCTTATCGGCCCCCGATAAGAGAAAAAGTCTTGGCATTCTTGGCCCTGACCCTGATATCCCTGAAAAGGGAATCTCCAAATTTAGGGGACTTTGGGACTTGGGACTTTGGGAACTTTTGAACTTCCCTTATTCACTCTTTTTTTCACCCACCATGGGAGACACTCCGCTGGCGTCGTTGTCTCTGACTCATGTCCACTACGTCAGTTATATCACCATACCACCGTTTGACTTTGCCACTGACTAGTTTCCAGAACCCCGAGGACCAGCTGTCCTTTGCCTCAGCATGGCTCGCCCTGGTTCCACAGGCACTATGTGTTTCCTATGCGACCTTGATGTGGTCAACAAGGGAGGTGGAGGTCATCTTGATGTTTGCAGGACAGATGGGCTGCGAAGCCTTGAACTTTGCCCTCAAACGTTTCATCAAGGAAGAGCGACCGAAGGGTGAGTTGTCGATGTTGATGGTCTCGTGGGTACCTTCCTAAACTAACACGTGTAAACAGAAATGTTCGGCAAGGGGTATGGAATGCCATCTTCACACGCCCAATTCATGACCTTCTTCTCCGTCTACCTCACTTTCTTCCTTCTTTTCCGTCACAGCCAAGCTTCCGCCAGCTCCTACCCCAATGTCGCCGTCCTCCTACGAGTCCTGGTCATGCTGGCCCTTTGCATTGGAGCTGCTGGTGTCGCTGCCAGCCGGGTTTACCTCAACTACCACACTCCGAGACAAGTTCTTGCCGGCTGTGCCGCTGGATTCGTATGCGCTTGTGGCTGGTTTATGGTCACCAGCCTGCTCCGAAGCTCTGGTTTGATTGAATGGGCCATGGAGACTACTATTTCCCGGTTGGTCAGAATCCGTGATCTCGTTGTAAGTGAAGACCTGGCTGAGGCTGGCTGGCAACGTTGGGAGTCTCAGAGATTGAAGCGTCGCGGCCTCAGTGAGAAGAAGTCGGAGTAAGGGATGCCCCCTTTTAGCATATACCCACCATAGTACGGAGTAGCGAGCGAGCGCCTGTTGATTTAGTGGTCTGAAATCCATTTTCTTCTATCTCTTTCTACTCATTTATCGTAATCTCAAAATAACACGATGACTTTTGTAGCCTGGTCACGTGACGGCTGGTCTCCCGCATCAACACTGCAGCTACCGACCACCCCTCGTGCACCTGTGAAGACTTACAAAATGCGTAGTGGTCCATTTGCATGTTTCATTTAATTTTGTGATCCATTCTTTTCATTTTTTTTGCCTAATGTATGGAGCGTTGATACCTTGGTGATCCACCGAACAACTTTGCCAGGAACACGACGACTCAACAAGTCCCCAATGATGGACACGGCTTCAGATCCACCTGAAGTCACTATGCAGGAGCATCATATTGTTAAGGCGGATGAAGTCGACCAAACTGGGACCGACATCTCGCCAGTTTCAGACGACCAACTCCTGGAAGAGGTGGCTGAGGGGCTCCGCCAGGAACAGGCCTCGCAGGCCGCACCCGCGGCGCCCTCTGCGCCCGACAAATCAATGAAACGACCTGAACTTCGTCGTGAAGGCTCTGCTCCACCTCCTCCGATGCAGCCCCCCCCTCCAGCCCCTGTCCCAGAGAATACGGACCGGGGTGGGAGCTCCCTGAGCTTATCGGAGTTGCGGAAGCTTGTGGGTGAAATGCCCAAAATCGAGCAACCAGCCTATGCTTTTGAATATGCCGATGCCCAATCTTTTCCCGATGAGCTCGACGAGTGGTTCCAGTATAACGCCTTTGACCGCGTCATGTTGATGGGCATGAAAACCACCTTTAACAAGAAATGGCCTACCTTTTGCCAGCAACGCCAGCTAGACACGCCTGGGGTGTCTTGGCTTGACGCATCCAAGGATTTGCGTCGTTCATTTATTGCTCAGATACTTGAGGATCTGCAGCTTGCTGAAGTCCCCGCGCGATTGGAAGCCCTTGAATCCATTTGCTATGCCGTCACCGGTGTATGGGGTCTCAGTGGTGGAAGAGTGGCGCCCGACTACCCTTCAGATGGAAATCTCGAGTCAGCGGCCGAAACACCACTGCTCGAGTCAATGCAGATTCAGTGCATCGAGCACAACGTTTCCCTTCTCCAGGAATGCTCAGGCGTTGCCGCCTTGGTACAGTACATGTGCCGTCTTTTCGATAAGACCCGCCCAGCACTCGGATCTGACTCCAGTGACGTTGATTACGAGCGGATTAGCCCTGGTGATATTGCGGCGCCGGAGCGCGAGGCCAACCTGGTCCTTACAAGTTTATACTTTGCCGTGGAAGTGGGTCGCAGGCAACAGGCGCGCGACCCTCAGTGCAGCTCAATACGTGATGCGCTGACCAGCTCAAATCCTAGTCTGTTAGTCTCCATTGTTGAAATCATCGCCCGACTGCGCTGGGACGAATCTGCCAATATCCCGCTGACCAGGATCCTTCTGCTGTTATGGAAGTCGCTGCTTCTTGTCTTTGGTGGGACCGATGATTTAAAGCGCGCAAAGGAGGTACTAGAGCCTGCTGTTTCATCTGAGGATGATTCCAAACGCAGGACACCATTTCTACACGCTTCCCCTCTGGATTACCATCTGTTCCGCCAGGAAATCACTTCCAAATACCCGGCTTACAACCCTCCTCCACTTGTCGTTCCACTAGAATTGGAAAACAATTCCATTCTACCCCCTCTTCCACACAACACAGCTAAGATGAACTCCTCCAGTGGTATCTTCTGTGGTGTTGCCCCCTCGGTCTCCGGTGGAAATGGCTCTATCCTTCAACAGGCCGTTCATATTGCAACCCCGGCGCCATCCCCACCGCCATCCCCCGCCGGCCCAGGAGGGAAAGCTGGGAAGAAGCAGAACTATCAGACCAACCAGAATTTCCCCTTCATGTACCCTCCCCTAGATGATTCCAGCAACCGGATTGGCGGGAAGGGCACAACGCAACGCCAGGATGCCTTGGTTGGAAAGAGATGGGAAGGCAGTGATGTCCCTGCGTCAATTATTGAAGCTGGAAAGCTCTTTTCCACCCATGTGAAAATGACTCGTGCGATGCGACAGCTTTGGCAGGAGCGCGAACACTTCATGCAGTACGACCGGGGCTGGAACTCCGAGGACGCTGCTCATTTCCCTGACAACATCTCGGATGATCTTCCGGATGATTTTGAACATCTAGATTTATCGGGCGACGAGGAGAAGGCGGAGCCTAAACCCAAACCGGTAGAGAAAGAGACAGATGACCCTGATATCCAGCGACGCTTGGATGCAGTTGACTCGTTTTATGTGAGTACATACTTTCAAGACCCAATTTCGACATTCGCTTACTGTTTACGAGACCCATACTCTATCTCACCTTCAGTCCATCACGATCGTGTTCTTGAAAATTATCCTAACAAATGTCAGCGCAGTGGTCAGCCAGGCTACTAGCCAGACTACGCAGGGCATGAGGTAAGCTCAGACACTTCAAATAACAACGAACGCGTTCTAACACAAGTTTCAGTAACGGTCATTCCATGAATGGCTCCTCTCACAATCTCCTTTCCGATGCATCCATAGATGAGCTAGACAACATTCGACTCCGCGAGATCACCGGGAAAGCCGTGTCTGGGACGCTGTTGCTTCTCCTTAAGTGGTTCAAGCGATCTCGTGAGTGTACCCTCCGAATCGTCTTTCTAAATGACGTGTGACTAACTGATCAAGATATCTTGAAATTTGAATACATGACACAGCTGTTACTCGACTCGAACTACATCCCCTTGATTCTCAAAATGTTTGCACACCAAGACGTTGACCAAACAGTGGCACATAAGAATGACCGCGAAGACTTATCGTATGTCACTCAGATTCGTCAAACTAGCTCATCCACTGACACAAAAGACCAGCTTCTTCCACTTCTGTCAAAGCAACACGGACTTCCCCCTGGAAACCGAAGAAAACTCCTGCGGCGACACAGAAAGCGAAGATGAAGCCATGCCACCCCCGATCGCCCGCCACCGCCCCGATCCAACAGCAAACGGCAGTATGCCAGGTCTCTCCGAAGAGGAATCCCTAACAGATATCCTCAACGGGCCGGCACGCCCCGAAGTCGACGAGCTAGGCTACCCAACCGCGCCTCTCCCCAAAGAACCAATCAAAGTATTCTCCTTCCGCAACTTCTTCTCCGCCATCAACTACCTACACGTCATGCAAAAGATCACACGCAACAAAGCCCACCGCTGCCTCCTACTAGTGCAGTACAAATCGAGCAACATCCTCCGCAAGGGCCTCAAGATTCCAGACCCACACCTCCGCTTCTACACCCTCAAACTCTTCAAATCCCAGGTCCCCTACTGCGGCCGCAAATGGCGCCAGAGTAACATGCGCGTCATCACCGCCATCTACCTGTACTGCCGCCCCGAACTGCGCGACGACTGGCTCGCTGGCTCTGAC